AATTTGTGTGCCGTGCATTTATTTAGCATTTTTTATTTTTCATTTTTTGTTTGCTTCCCCAAAGGTAAGAAAGACCAAATAAAAAGAAACCAAGATGTGTGATGATGATGCAGGAGCTCTTGTCGTCGACAATGGATCGGGCATGTGCAAAGCCGGATTCGCTGGAGATGATGCACCACGTGCCGTATTTCCATCAATTGTTGGACGACCACGTCACCAAGGTGTGATGGTTGGTATGGGCCAAAAGGATTGCTATGTCGGTGACGAAGCTCAAAGCAAACGTGGTATTTTAACACTAAAATACCCAATCGAACATGGTATCATTACCAATTGGGATGATATGGAGAAAATCTGGCATCATACATTCTATAATGAATTGAGAATTGCACCAGAAGAACATCCAGTATTGCTCACTGAAGCTCCATTGAATCCAAAGGCCAATCGTGAAAAGATGACCCAAATCATGTTTGAAACATTCAACTCACCAGCCATGTATGTATCAATAAATTTCGAATAATTTCGTCAAATTTTTTGAACAGAGTTTATTTATGAAAATAATTTTGATTCAGGTATGTTGCCATTCAAGCTGTGCTCTCATTGTACGCATCCGGTCGTACCACCGGTATCGTTTTGGATTCGGGTGATGGTGTCTCACACACCGTCCCAATCTATGAAGGTTATGCATTGCCACATGCCATTCTCCGTTTGGATTTGGCCGGTCGTGACTTGACTGACTACCTTATGAAGATCCTTACCGAACGTGGTTATTCGTTCACCACAACTGCTGAACGGGAAATTGTCCGTGATATCAAGGAGAAATTGTGCTACGTTGCATTGGACTTTGAACAAGAAATGGCAACTGCATCGGCATCAACTTCATTGGAAAAATCATATGAATTGCCCGATGGTCAAGTCATTACCATTGGCAATGAGCGTTTCCGTTGCCCAGAATCATTGTTCCAACCATCATTCTTGGGTATGGAATCATGCGGTATCCATGAGACTGTCTACAATTCAATCATGAAGTGTGACGTTGACATCCGAAAGGATTTGTATGCTAACACTGTTCTCTCAGGTGGTACCACCATGTATCCAGGTAAGAAATTATTAATACCTTCGAAATTATAGTTTCGAACGATGGTTAATGGGACGATGGTTAATTTTTGTGGTATTGATTCATATACAAACAGGTATTGCTGATCGTATGCAAAAGGAAATCACCGCATTGGCACCATCAACTATTAAGATCAAGATCATTGCACCACCAGAACGTAAATACTCCGTATGGATTGGTGGTTCAATTTTGGCATCATTGTCCACCTTCCAGACCATGTGGATTTCAAAGGCTGAATATGATGAAAGCGGTCCAGGCATTGTTCATCGCAAATGCTTCTAGATGTAAAATTTCATTAATTTTTGAAATCGATTTATTTAATTTCTTTTCATTTCAAATGTCAACTGCTTCTGAGAACAAAGTGCAAAACAAAACAAATTCATCATATTATACAGTCATTATAACGCATATACTCATAATAATTTCTTTTTTCTTTTTTTTATTAAAAAATATTAATAAACAAAAACACTATGAAAAGTACCACGAAACCGATATACAATCAAAATTTACCAAAACAAATTCATGTAATAAAGTGCAATAATCATTACACGTAATGATAATAATCAACAAAAACTATTAAAATCAGCCAAAAGAAAGTCTTGCTCAATTTTCTTCATCTCTATTTCTCTCAAAATATTTATATAATTATGTTCTTTTGTAATTTTATGAAAAACACAAAATATAATCTACAAAAAAATATCCGGACTACTTTTTATTCTCTCTATACCATTTTTGCTGTGTTTTGTTAAGTTTTTTTTATAGATAAATAAAAAAAAAATCTGATTATATAAATGTGTTAAAGTGGAAAATTTGATGCGAAATTAGAAAAAAAAAATTTGATTCAGCATTGTCAAACATCACACGGATTCACATTGAGCTCGTGTGAATAAACAACGTGTTGTCGTCATTTTATTGGCCGGTGTATCCCTTTGTAGCCTGCATAATCATAAATTATGCAGTTGCATTGCGATTGGATTGATGAGCTGAAACTGAAATGCGAGCACAAAACCATAATCGAATGTGAAATAACGATGCGACTGCTATGTACCGAAAAAGACACACAACACATTGTCAAAGCTCAAATAGTGATTACCGAAAAGGGAAAAACAATGCATCACCGAATACGATACACAAAATTGTCGAAAGTATTTTTAATCTCATTCTCTCGACGTGCGAATAAAAAAACCGAATAAAAAAACACCGAAAAAGAAAGGAAAGCAATGAACAAAAAGAAAATACACAGAAACACCAACAAATTAACGGCGACGTGAATAAACTCGACACTGTCTGAGCATGCAACCATCGCATAGCCACAAACACAAAACACAACCAATTTTCCGTCCGTTTTTTTCTTCTTCTCTCAATTTCATTTCGTTTGAATTGTTTTGCATTTGTTTTTGTTATTCGCATTGCGCTTGTTCTGGCCCAACACAGCCAATTTGTGACACACCACACAACACAAATAAACATTTTTCGAAATTTGGTTCGAACGATTCATCTAAATCGCCTTTTTAAGGGATTTCTATTTTCAGCCCAGCAAAACAATTATTAGCATCTTTGATGCGACTCGAGACCACAAAATAGTTACACTTATAACAAATATGTCGAAATAGAAAAAAAAATGTATCTTATGCCATCATTCCATACGAATAACTTGAATATTTTATGTAAAATTGCGACCGAATCGCATGAATAAAATATGGTAATGTATAATACAGAGTGAACGAAAGTACGCATGCATTTGAATAATTTGAATGAAATACAATGAATATAAAGAACCAATATTTGAGAGACTTTATTTTTTTAAATACTGACTGCACTTCCAGCCAATCCAAGGGATATTTTGGTACGATTATTCCAGTTTTGAATAGTTCCATGGGCTTCGTACACGCTCTCATTAGATAGTCTACCTTACTTCGAATCGTGTTCGTAACAAACTATTAAACTCATCGCATGCGAATTTTCAAATGGAATGATGGCATAGATAAAATGCGATATAGCATTTTTACTCGAAATGAAACAGTTTTCTTTCTAAAGTGACAAAAAGAAAATATGATGCACAACAAATATATATAATATATATTGTCGTTTGATTCTACAATGCTATTCGTTACTTACTTTACATGGTTTGCTACAATAAGACACCAATATTCATTCATTGTGGTTTCATTTTTTCTATCTTTTTCTCTTTCGATTTGATTCTCGCATATATATTTTTTTTCGTTATGATTTTTTTTCGCTTGCATGGTCATAAATTGAGAGATGCTCACTTGACTGAAAAGTGATTGGTATAAAAGTGCTCGGTACGAATGAAACGTATTTCACTCGACAAACACGTTTAGAGCCGACAACAGGCCAAAAAGTCTCCATTTTCTTTCGAAAAGGTTAGCAAGTTTACTTAGAGGAAAAATTCGATTTGATTCAAGTTAAAACGAGAAAAACTAAGCAGTCGGTGATTTTTTTTTTCTGAAAACTTTCAAGAAAGTGTTTTTTTCCTGACTATTCGTTTCATATGGATTTTGGAAATATTTATTAAATCAGAAAATAAGCTAAAACTAAACCGTGAATTAGCAATTAACTCGTTGAAATAACGAACAATTTTAAAATTTCGTTGATTATATCGAGTTTGAAAATATCGATTCGAAAAATATTCAATTTCGTAGAAATTGAGATTGCTCGAAGAAAACCAAGCGAATTTTTCTATTGTGTAAAAATTTTAAGCAAATTTGTGTGCCGTGCATTTATTTAGCATTTTTTATTTTTCATTTTTTGTTTGCTTCCCCAAAGGTAAGAAAGACCAAATAAAAAGAAACCAAGATGTGTGATGATGATGCAGGAGCTCTTGTCGTCGACAATGGATCGGGCATGTGCAAAGCCGGATTCGCTGGAGATGATGCACCACGTGCCGTATTTCCATCAATTGTTGGACGACCACGTCACCAAGGTGTGATGGTTGGTATGGGCCAAAAGGATTGCTATGTCGGTGACGAAGCTCAAAGCAAACGTGGTATTTTAACACTAAAATACCCAATCGAACATGGTATCATTACCAATTGGGATGATATGGAGAAAATCTGGCATCATACATTCTATAATGAATTGAGAATTGCACCAGAAGAACATCCAGTATTGCTCACTGAAGCTCCATTGAATCCAAAGGCCAATCGTGAAAAGATGACCCAAATCATGTTTGAAACATTCAACTCACCAGCCATGTATGTATCAATAAATTTCGAATAATTTCGTCAAATTTTTTGAACAGAGTTTATTTATGAAAATAATTTTGATTCAGGTATGTTGCCATTCAAGCTGTGCTCTCATTGTACGCATCCGGTCGTACCACCGGTATCGTTTTGGATTCGGGTGATGGTGTCTCACACACCGTCCCAATCTATGAAGGTTATGCATTGCCACATGCCATTCTCCGTTTGGATTTGGCCGGTCGTGACTTGACTGACTACCTTATGAAGATCCTTACCGAACGTGGTTATTCGTTCACCACAACTGCTGAACGGGAAATTGTCCGTGATATCAAGGAGAAATTGTGCTACGTTGCATTGGACTTTGAACAAGAAATGGCAACTGCATCGGCATCAACTTCATTGGAAAAATCATATGAATTGCCCGATGGTCAAGTCATTACCATTGGCAATGAGCGTTTCCGTTGCCCAGAATCATTGTTCCAACCATCATTCTTGGGTATGGAATCATGCGGTATCCATGAGACTGTCTACAATTCAATCATGAAGTGTGACGTTGACATCCGAAAGGATTTGTATGCTAACACTGTTCTCTCAGGTGGTACCACCATGTATCCAGGTAAGAAATTATTAATACCTTCGAAATTATAGTTTCGAACGATGGTTAATGGGACGATGGTTAATTTTTGTGGTATTGATTCATATACAAACAGGTATTGCTGATCGTATGCAAAAGGAAATCACCGCATTGGCACCATCAACTATTAAGATCAAGATCATTGCACCACCAGAACGTAAATACTCCGTATGGATTGGTGGTTCAATTTTGGCATCATTGTCCACCTTCCAGACCATGTGGATTTCAAAGGCTGAATATGATGAAAGCGGTCCAGGCATTGTTCATCGCAAATGCTTCTAGATGTAAAATTTCATTAATTTTTGAAATCGATTTATTTAATTTCTTTTCATTTCAAATGTCAACTGCTTCTGAGAACAAAGTGCAAAACAAAACAAATTCATCATATTATACAGTCATTATAACGCATATACTCATAATAATTTCTTTTTTCTTTTTTTTATTAAAAAATATTAATAAACAAAAACACTATGAAAAGTACCACGAAACCGATATACAATCAAAATTTACCAAAACAAATTCATGTAAT